CGTTAAGTTTGTGGATAATTTTCCCTATTTAGTGACATTGACAAGGGAATTATTAGTAAATAGAAAGGGTTAGATAGCTGTTTCGCCTTTGTGGACTCGTCAGCGGCACGCACCAGTTACTTCATATCTGATCAAACATTCAGTGTTTAATGAGAGTTTGATATAAATGAAGTAATACATTGTGGCCTGATGACTTACTTTATCACTGTCTAGATAGTTAATAGATTAGACTTACTCGCCATTGCTTTAAAAAATATGAGGAATTGTTTATTCTGATTTGGTGTTGTGTTGTTCACAACCAAAGACAAACTTACTAGAATTCCCAAACCCATATTCTTTCACAAATTGTTCCCATAAAAATGCAAGATCAGTGCAGACTAAACGTAACCAAACGGAATATTGTATCATACACTTGGAGACTGATTCGTTTTGTTTATTGCTAACCAAATAAACTGCACAACTAAAATGAACGGCAGTTTTTTGTGGTTTTAACTAAGCTAACTTTTTCTAAGAATTCATCTTCAAGTTTCCCACAGTTACTGTTTATTAGTTTTCAGCACTCAATTTCAATCGGTTAATTTCACTATTTCTTACTACTTTTAGCTCCTTCAGATGAATTTATTCAAAAGTAAGGTAATACTAGGTTATAGAGTGATTGAAATTGAATTTATATCCATTAGCCGGTGTGTTTAGGATATGTATTACGTATTTTCAACCACCGCCTATCTCGATGCATGATGTTGGTTCGTGTAGAAGTGGATTGGTATATACAGGAAATTAAACCGAAACGTGGCATTATTCCGTTAAGTAATTGAACTGATCTGTGTTAGTAGGTTCAGATTAACTTGTTAGTATCGCATGGTTTTTATGACCAGTGATTGGAGACGTTGGATAACATAGTTCTTAATCGGCTGTAACAAAACAGATACATGCGCTCTAATCTTAAAACCCAAGTTTTGAAATTATCTCATACCTTATTTTGCACGAACTAATTCCTTGGGTCATATTCTGTTGCTAATCTTTTCTACTACCATGTATACTGTTCCTGATCCTACTATAGAATCTGTTATGACAATTTCATCTATCTGCGCTATTGTGGTTTAACAACTTAAACCGATTCATGTCTCGGGTCCTACATTACATATGACCATTTGGCTTTTTGCTTTCTGTTCTTACTATTTGTTTCTGGAAGTTAGCGGTACTTACATTGTGTGACAAATGTCCACTTTTGAAATTTCATTTTTTTTTAACTGAAAGTATCAGTATTTATCTTTGTTTCCGTTTTCAGACTTATTTGGGTTGTTCGCTTATCTTCGACTCACACCGTATTCTTTCTCACATTATTGGAACAGTTTATTGTATCAGCCGTTCCTCGCAACATGCACTACATCCTCGAGTAAAAGCCAGTATGATTCGGAAGATGATGTAAAAACTATGCTTAGTGAACCACTTATTGCTAGTACGGACTTGAGTAAAACTTTGAGTAAACTGTTATGGAGAAATACTAAAGCCCTTGTAGGTGATCAGCTTGCTATACCTCCACTCACTGAAAAAATTCATTGGTGAGTCCAAATTTATAGGGTTTATCCAGATTCATCTGAATATGATCTCATTCTTTATGGTTAATCCTTTGGCAATACTTGTATACGTTAATCAATGTGGTTTCAATTTTTTAGTTGTCTAAATAAATAACTAATGCAACTCATTTAACAAGTGTGAGTTAATGTACTTGACTTTTAGTTGCATCACGTTTTTGCAAGGGCTAGTGATACTAACAAGATATCCAAAGCGAATTGACTGAAGTAAGGTTCAAATACATGATATCGTGATTGGAAATTTAGTGTCCTAATCCCTAATCCATTGATATACTGTATTAAAAGTTTCATAAATATACTAACAGTCCTTTACTTGGTTTATAGGTTTGTGTATCAATTTTTCTCATGCCTGTCTTAACAGCTCATCGCCTACTTATTGCCATAACTATCTTATTAGTCAAATATTTCCCCCAAGAGTTGACTGGTAAACTGTTTTCCATGATTGTCTGCAGGTTTTAATTTTTCAGTTATGTTATTTATATTTTTAGATGTGTTTTTTATCCTGAATATGAATTATGGATATATTATTATTTAGGATTACATTTACTCCTGTTGAACGATATATACACGATCGTGTTTTGGCTCAGTCAACCGGTGCTCTTGAGCGTTTAGTTCAAAACATGTCGATTTCACCTGATCAATTACTTTCTAGTTTACCTACAGCTGCACATTGGCGTTTGGTTTATTTAATTACTCGACTTCGTCAGGCTTGCACACATCCAAGTCTTGTTGTGGCTACTGGTGGATCACATAAAGGTAACCGTGGTGAACGAAATCAAACAGGACGTGTAAATGGACTGACGACTTCTGAAATGATACCAAATATGGTACGTGTAGGCCTCAATGATGATGAACAATATGGTGATAATGATGAAGACTATTCCACCACAACGAATCATGCTCCCACTGTAGCTGATGCTCGAGCCCACCGTAATTTAGGAACGGGGTAAGTAGTAAGACATTCAGCTTTCAGTAATGATTGTGCTCCTCATAAGTTCACACTGCCGCAATTTCCAGAATCTGTTGCTACTTTACGAGTTGATTTTAACCTGTTCATAGAAAATACGCATAAGTAATGAGTAATTTTTCAAAATATGATTATAAGTAATTATTTATAGGAAATATTATCCAGTAAATAATATTTCACCGTTTATAACGTCTAATGAACAAACTGAAATAGAATTATATTCTAGTTCCAATCAATTAATAATGAAATTCAACTTTTATGTTTTTAATTTAGAACATTTTTTCCAAATTTATTAATTCAGTTTGATAATGTAATCAATGAGATCTATTTTAGAGGAAGGAGAGTTTTCTTTGCCATTTAGATCTTGATTATTGAGCTAGTACCATTATGCATTTATATGATTTAACTGTAAAAGTTCCAGTGTTTGCTTGACAATGAAACGTCTTTACCTTAGTTCCCTTTTAATTAATTCATAGATGAAATTTGTACTATCATGAATTGGAGCCAACACCTATCTGAATTTAATATAATTTGTTAGCTCTCTCCTCCCACTTTGTGTATTTTATTCATTACTATTTATTCTAAAATGAAATAATTTCTGGAGTTATTTCATCAAATTAATTTCCCATGCATATAATGTATTACATACAAGTGTATGTGTCCTTACCGATTACTACTTTCCACTGTATACTAATGGTGAATAATACCTTACAATACTGCTATTGGAGTTGATTATATTTTTATTCATCATCCTAATTTTTTCTCACTTCACCAACATAGATGTTTTACAATGACTGAAGTAATCAGACGTGTTGTGGATGAGACACGCAGAGAATGTGAAGGCCTTCTGCGTACTTGGGTTTTCAATAAAAATGGTGCTGCTGGTTGCTTTATTATCAAAGGTCAAGTAAGTATAACTGCACATACATATTACAATCTGGGTATAAGATATAAGGTGGTTGGTGGTAATTGACAGGAAACCTTAGACCTAGATTTCAAGTTATGTAGCACTCGTCAGTAAAGTGCATCTGTAATCTAGATAAAGCTTCCTAGAGAGTTCGGTCAATAAAATCTTATCACCACTTAAAAGCACTTAGCAAACACGGTATTATTCATGGTGCAGTGATCGATCAGTTGAAAATAATTCTTATTTATGTCAATACTTCAACGCATATGAGTCACTTAATCATTACGCCTAAAGTATCAGTTTTTGTTTATATATATAAATATATATCACTTTTAAAACTATTATATGAAGGATCGTTATGTATGATTAGTGGACCGTTAGACTATTTTATTTTTATATTTTCCCATTTCTAAGCATTCATTTGACCCATAAATTGTCATCATATGCCATAGTGTTGTAGACTTACCGTTAATTAATGAAATAATTATTTACTACTCCGATTTTGTATCATTTATAATCAAACAATGTACACATTGTAATTCCTCGATTGTTGGTTTGTGATCAGACATTTCAAACATATTATTGTATGGATTTTGAGTCATGACTGAATAGAATAAGATGGAGAACTGATCTATTTTCTACGTCCTATATCTAGATACTGGTTGTTTTTATTGGTCGGTACGTCAACTGGTAAATAGGTCACCGGTCTTATTTGCAATTCGTTTGAACCAATTGTTAGTCGAGCTAAGGGAGGTAGACATCATACAGCCGCTCTCTTGTTATTACAGTTTGATTACATAGACCCCATGTAATGGCCAAATATAACAATACTAAACGTTGGTTTTTACAATTGTATCAGTATCTATTAAATTAACTAATCCATATGCACTGATTCTTTTTTTCTTTTCCTATCGTTATTCTCAGTTAGTTCAGGCTGCCGACTGTTACAGAGATGTTTTACGATCAGCTGACAGTTTTGAAAGAAATCATGGTATTCTTGCAGATTGGAGTCAACGGCTTCATGCAATCACTAATCTACATTGGTTAATTCAAACTCAAAAAGTTCCTATACTGGATGAACCTCTTCCCATTCTTCCACAAACTCCATCATTACTGAAAAACGCTTCATATTCCGTTGTTTCAGTACAGACTAAGAAAAGCGGAGATTTTAGTCTTGAAGGACTAGATCCTCGTGTTGACAGAGATTTATGTGCTAAGGCTGAACGTTTACGAACTACCTATATTCAGGTTTACAGTCAGCTGTGTTATTATTATTATTATTATTATTATTATTGTTATTATGATTATTATACCTTAATAACAGAATCAAGATATGCTTTTGACATGTGCATCGTCAGAATATCTGACAGCAGTTGAATACTGCTGCTGAATACTGAGCAACAAATCTTCTCCACCAGCAGTTGAATACTTTTACTTGATAATAAATGTTAATTCTTACTATGCATGTATTCATTACACAACATAAATTATTTCTTTAGAAAAAATTTACATTGTTTCACTAGAGCTTTTTCAAAGCCAATAGATTGAATTGTCCTTAATGATCTTTTCAGAAAATATTTAAAGAGTAATAAATGCAAAGTTTTCACAAAATTGACATATATTGTTCTTAAATAGTATACTATTCACAAAGAATATCCCGTTTGTTTCATATGAGTCTAGACATCAATCAAAAATGTGTTAGTGAAATATATTGCTCTGAAACTAGTCTGTTTACCAGTGAAAATAGCTATCACAATCATGCTCCTATCATCTTTCACATATGGGAAATACATTTGTGTATGTATTTCTGACAGACATCACATTAATTTTTTACGAAATGTTATTTAATGTTCCTTATTTGTTCTATGGTAGTAATCTTTTAAAAACATATCAAGTATCACCACTTATTAATAGTTTTCATAAAAGAAGATAGTAAGAAATATGTACTCAGGATTAAATCAAATCACATTATATATTATGTATGCTGAAGTGGTTTCGTTCACTAGTTAGCTATTAAAAATATTTTTATAAATTATCATACTTTTCTACATTATTTCTAGAAATAATGCACACTAATTTACTTACTATTCGTTTTTAAAATATAATTTCAGATGCATTCTCAATTATTAGCAAAAGTAAGAGAAAATTTAGATCCAATTGTAAAAGAATTAGACAATGAATTATGTGATTCAATTGAACATGATTCTAATGAAAATCTTACTGATAAAATGGCTAGTATTGATGCTGGTGGATGGCTTAGTTGGCTTACAGAAGCAATTGATTTTCTTATTATCTCTGGTTTAGGTCATAGTTTAATTGATATGCTTGTTGCAAGTTTTCAAAGTCGACCAAATATGAATCGAAGTGGATTCAGGTAATATAAAATGACATTATATATGTATATATATATTCCTTATTATTATTCTATAAAATTAATATTCATCGAAATAAAATCTATACAATAATACTGATAAATATTAGTAATCATAAAACTGTAAAAAAAAGAGATACTGTATTAAGTATTATTCTTTAGGTTATAACTTTGAAGAAGGGCAAATAAAATTCTACTTTCAGGAGTAATGTATCAAAGCTTCGTGTCCCATGTTGATTTAAGGCAAGAAATTAATGAAATCCAGTTATACGTTGCTAAATCTCTCATTAAGTGTTGACAATTACCTATATTGTGAAGCTAAACAGACGGATGGGTTTAATCAGATGGATAGTGAAGTCATGTCAAACCACATTTAGAGTTAACTGATGAATTACTTATTTATCTTGTGATATGTGTAAAACTATTTTATGTTAATTCCTTTAGTTGAATAGTGTACTATCAGAAATAATAAAGTATTTATTATTCACTCTCTATATATGGTTGACTTTAAGAAATGAACAGTTTATCAATATTAAAGGTATTTTTTTAGTTAAATTTATAGTTTGTATATTTGATAAATTTCTTTTAGAACTTCTTTACTTTATGCTGGTTCAGCTATTACATTCAAAGCAATGTTACTAACTGAGTTAGGAGAAGTCTTTACAACACGTAAACAAATGAGAATAGCTATGCAACCAATGGATGATACATGGCATTCATTTATGGTAGGTTGTAATAATTTGTTTTACTATTGTAACATTTCTTAAATATAATGTTTGTTGGAAAAGTACATAGTCTTTTAGCTGTACTCAGATTTACTTTTAATATTGATACTATGCTCTTTTTACATACCAGCTGTGTGCATAACTTTAATTTCATAACTGCGGTAAATCACCTCTTAACACATGAAAGTTATCTACCATTAATAACTTTTAAAGCAAGCTTTGATTTGTCAATATCATTGAATAATCCTTAGTAAGTTGAGTTTCGTTCATTCCAACATGACAAGTTCAATTCTAAAGTTTTAGTCTATATATAATCATTAAAATGACTAGGCAACACTTTTCTCATTTGCCAATAAAAAATTGTTTCAATAACTAATGATAACTAGACAAGTAGTCCAAATAAAAACATGTTAGCAGATTATAGAATCTGTGATTATCAGTTTTTGCCGTATGATTGATCGTCATATAATTTCGAAACCAACAATCCTGGTTGGATAAGAGCTGTGGAGTACACATATCCATCGTTCTGTTTATGATTTGTATCTAGTTGATATGTATTACCATGTTGCCTTTCATGTATCAGACCCAATTAATCTGAATTAAACCTGTAATATCACCACCATTAGCTGCTGCATTTTGATCAGAAATTCTTAATGGCTCGTTTAGTTTAACTTTTCCACTGATTATATCATGACTTAGATTATACTCTGGCTTCGTGGGTACAATTTTCTGTTTACAATTTTCCCCATGTATACTTGAAAAATTTTTAGACTGGCCGTGAAGTTGATCGACGTGTTCTACAACCATTTTACGCATGTTGTGCAAGAGCTTTTGATACAGATGAAGAAAATAAACGAAAAGAAGAGAAACGTAAAGCCAAATCAAAAATTGATGATAAGACAAAAAAGTCAAACACTGATAATACACCAAATCGTCGTGTAACAAAGAAAACACGTTGTGCTTATTGTATTGCTTTAAGAGCTTTATGTAATTATCAACGTGCATTGAATCATGAACGTGCAAAAACTACACCAAATCGTCCGTCGATATTTGAATTTGATTTTGATAATAATTCAGAAACATTAGAGAAATCATCTGTCGCTGCTGCTTCTGTTGAAGAGTCTGGAACTGGTCTAATTTTAAATAATCCTCTAGTTATGTCATTATCTATAGTATGTCAACAAATAACTAGAATTTTATCATCTACACCTGCCAATGAACTTCCATTTTCAAAAATGTTGTATCAAACAAAAGCTAGACGTTTGGAACAATTAATTCGCTTAATGGGAAAGGAAATATTGGTAAATCAATGAATTTTAGTAAATAACTAAATAATTATAGATTTAATAACATTTATTAACTGAAAACATTGTTGTTTGTAATAAGCTCTGATTTTCACGTAGTGTCTGAATACTATCAGTGTTGTCTGGTTGCATCACCCGAAGATTGACAGGATTTCAAACCGGTGAATTTAGTGTTGGGAATCACTGGGAATGAACGAAGCAGATTAGAAAAACTATCACCATAAGCGAGCGATACATACCCACAATTTGATATCTTTCATGTGTGCTTTGTTTTACATTATATGTTGTTAAGAATATCGAGCAGTTTGAATCAAGTCATCATTAATAAAAACTATGTTATCATAAAGTCAGCTAATTAGTTACTTAGTCGGTCATGGTAAAAAAAATGTCCGATTAACAGTATTTTCAATATAGTTCACAAAGCGAAATCATATGACTGAGTTTAATAAATTCCCTTAATTTAGTTATGTGCACATGCGATTCGTGTAAGTACATGAATCAATGTTCGATCTCCTGTGACATGCACACTTATATACAAATAGTAAACATTTTCCTGGAAAAACCTTCCAGATAGCAATCAGTCAGCCAATAAGCTGCAATGTAGAACATGATATGTATAAGACAAGTGAATTATTAAGAGATGAGGGAGGGATTCGATCGTGAACAAGTTGATCTTGTGTGCTGTAAGAAGTATGATATGGATGTCACTTCCCGGCTGCCCTCACTGTGGAGGGTTATTTCTTCTTTAGGTACCTGAAAAGGAAGCTAGGAACGTGATAGCAGAGCCCAAAGGACAACCTATTGAGTTCGGTCGCGCACGGTCTTTTTATGGAAAGTTTTCAACGTATTAGCCCCGCTCTTCGAAAGGCCTTATCGTCGGGGACGAAAGTCCGTCGGATAGAGTGAAGTTTAACAGTTTTAGGGTTGACGCTTTCTAACCCCTCCCGTTGTAAGGATGCAGAATCGCTGTAGATGCTGTTTGTCCGAGTGAAACACATTACTGTTTTCACATCCCTCTACAATCAGCAGTACGAATTCGCCCCTACCCCCATACCCTAACTTGCTACTTTTAGTTCTGTCGTAGTACTGTCGACCTGCTTGGTATGATAACACCTAAAGAAATATGTTTTCCAAATAATATAGCTCGGTTGGGTCACCACGATAGTCAAGCCCGACCACCTTGTTAAGGAGCAGCTACGGTCGGGAAGTTTGGTGTCAGAAGTGGAATAGCATTTTGACTAATTAACTAATTTTCAGAAATCCTAATCAGTGTACCAAATTCCTTATTCAAATAACTCTCTTATGATTGTTTGTGGCTAGATAAAATTTACAATTAAAGACTATATTTCATGCAACAGTTGAGTGTATTTATATTTGAAGTAATAATTTACTTAAAATGATCATATGATATCAGATTTCTTGCTTCATCATGAGGTGTATGTTCTAAGTTAGTCCATATAAGATAAATGATTAATAAAATATGTTCTGTTAGGAATCCATGCTTTGCATAAATTAAACAGTCTTTATTTTACCTTGTTGTAATTTACTATAGCTAACCAGTCGCACACAGTCATTGACCAGGGAGTGGTGGAACATACACGATGATACTGAACAGTTTGTAGTTCGCCTTCAAGCCACTTGTCCAACAGATTTAGCTTTTATTCATGAAGATGAGGTAATTCAAACTTTTATTTAATTAACATTTAGTAATTTTCATGTAAAATCCCTTAACCAAAGTATCTGTGTGAACAGTTTGTTCGAAAAGTACAAATACATCACATTTTACAGACCAACTCTATCTTCTCTCTGTTCTTTCAAAATTTATAGAAGAGACAAATTACTTGAAATCAACTTTCTGTTTTGTTTAAATTAAATATATACTTATCTGTTAACAGCTTTAACTCATCTCTGTATTTTATCTTTCCAGGTTGATGCTCAATTACATTCTTACATAGTTGAAAGTGATATAATTTGGCCTAGACTTCAATCTCGTCTTGGACATTTTAACTTCTTGCGTAACGCTCATTTAACAGCAGTAACTGGCTTTGCTACTTCAAGTGAAGTCGATAACGCTGATGGGAAACAGTCTAAAAGTCGACCGCTTGAATGTCCGACTTGCTTACAGTTACATTCACCAAATAATCCAACGTTTGTTTTGCTTCCTGGCTGTTGGCATACTCTTTGTGTCACTTGTCATGATCGTATTGCTTCACTAAATCAAGTTTCTCAACGACGATGCCCAATTTGTCGAACATCATTTCAGGCAACAGAAACTACAGGTATTAATGCTCGACGTAGAAGACCTCTAACACTTATTCATTATGCTGGAAATAAGGAGTACCAAGAAAACTCAGTGCAACCAAATGAAACAGAGGAAAATTTGAATATAGTGGTAGGTCAGTCATTTTTACCTCCTGGTTAGGGTTTTACGTGCCTAAATATCAATAAAAACTGTTGTGCATAAATATTTCTGCTTCAAGCCCCTGAAAACTGTAAATAGAATATAAAGATTCCACAAGTACATTACTGGAATCTATATGCTTCATCAGTTTTTGAATATAACTCGTAAATAGTACTAGTTAGTGTCGATTCAAGCCTTTTTGTAGAATGTTTATCTTTGTCTCTGGTAAGCACAAAATCCTATGAGACTATTAAAACAAATACACAATGAGGTCATTGTTTTAATAATTTCATATATACATATACATATTATTGCATACCTATTTGAAAAAGATTAAGCTTAATGAGAAGGATATAAAGTGTATTTTCAAAATACCGTTTAGCTTAGGTTGATGTGTATTATTATTCTGTCACAAAAGCAAATAACGTTGTACAATAGATATCATGTGCCGGTTGCTCAGTTTCAAAGCTTTTTTGTGTACTAAAGTATGATTATCTAAATACCTGTTTTATATTATTCTCATTATCATCTATCTAGAAGTACAATATATTTTAGGTGCGTTGTATTTCAAGTCCGAGGTTCACCAAGTTGTGTGGCGTGTGATAACTCCTTTATTTATGCCGTTTGAGTATGCTATGAAATAAATCTCTCCTTCACTTTCCGTATATCATACTTAGGCGAACTCCGTTTGTTAGACGGCGGTAATAAGCAGTCAAATACGGATTCGGTTGAATAAGTTTATTTCAAACAATCTCTCATGCAGACAGATCTGAGAATGAAAAGCATACCAGCAGAGCGAAGCAATTTGGAGAGAGCAAGCGAGCCGACTCAGTGTAATAAGACATGACTAAGCGTTTATATTCAAGCAAAATAAGCTAGACGTGGGATAAGCGAAGTGTGCACACACACTCGAATATAAACAATCGAGCTAAAACCGAATAGTTGAAAAGGTCGAAAGACGAGTAAATCATAAATCAAGAAGAATGGATTAGCTCATTTATTTCCAAGGGTGGTGGGCTCGATATAAAAGTACGCGCACTGCAACATCATTATGGAGTAACAATGTTTTCGCGGCTGCATGTCTATCTTGTTCTCATGAAATGCACGCCAAGTGTATGTACCTTAGAAATAATATCCTTAAGCCTTTACAACCATAATTACTGTAAATTTTCAACATTTTGTAATTTCTATCTTATAAACAACTTGACCTTTGTTGCGACTCTCTCTCACTATTAAAATTCACCAGCACGGATCAGTCAGTCACTCAGTCACCTACAACATAGAACTTCATACGCAGGTACATCAGTTCAAGTTGCCAAACTACGATAGCACACAGAGATCGAATTGTCAGTTCGAATCCCATAGTACAAGAGTTAGTAACAGTGATTTGAGAGAACACAAAAAGGGGATGCACCTGCATCATATAGTTCAACGTCTCTAACCATCGTTAACCATCGTCTTGCGGATCCCAACCCGGTAGTCTACAACTACTAACATCGCCCAGTCCGCTTGTCAGTGGCTACATAGGTTTCTGCCAAGCTTTGATCCGGTCGCCTCTCGCTTTCTTCAAACCTACTCCTACACCACTAAATATTGTTGGTCGAGGCAGTCGACGGTTGAACATTCGTAACACATATCCTAATCACCACAATACTTCATCTACTGATCTGCGATCCCTACCTAGTACTCGTTTCCTAACAACTGCATTGTTTACTCGGTTGCCCCTGGATACACGAGCAATGCTTCGAAGACACCTATGATCGAAAACCAGTAACCTACGAATACCTTCTACTCTGACTGGCCACGTTTCACAGCCGTAAAGTAGGACGGAGCGAACTGTTGCGCAGTACACTCATCTTTTAGTCAGCAAACGGATGTATCGTCTACGCCATAAATGACGCAGGTCGGCAAACGCCAACCGAGCTTTCTGTATCCGTGCAGAGATTTCGTCAGTCACCAGGCCATCAGCACGGTCGGTATATTATGACTTTTTATTATATTGCTCATTTGACTGGTTAAAAAATTGAGTGTCGTGTTAACTAAACACTTTTTTTTCAACAAAACAAAATGGAGATTTTGATTTACTTGTTGACCAGAAATGAATAGACACTACATCATTTTTACTTCTTAATATTTTAGTAGTTTATTAGAAACGATGTTATTATAATCTACTCACTACTTCCGTCTCTTTCACTTAGTGAAACATTGGCCGCCGACCAGCTCGCTCCAAACTTCTCTTTCCTGTGCCTTTCTTTCCATTTCTATCCAATTGTTCTTCATTCTTCTCATTTCTGTCTCTATTTCTCGGCGTAGTGTATTTTTAGGTCTTCCACTTTCCCTTCGGCCTTGGGGATTCCAAGTGAGGGCTTGTCTCGTGATGCATTTAGATGTTTACCTCGATAAGTGTCCTATTCACTTTCAGTGCTTTTTTCATCTGGAATCTGTTTGTCAATGCAGATATGGTTCTGTGCATTTTCTAAATTAAGTTTGATTAGGTTTTGGTAATATAATTAATCTTAATTTTTGTATTAGACGTTCAACTTTGTCAAATAATATTACCGACTGGGTTGCTTGGAGAATGAAAAAAATGTCTGTTTAACACTACTGGTATCCAGTAACACTTGCGCATTGTTTATCTCTGTTTCTTTCTTCAAAATTTGGTTAAGAATACAACAAGTGAATAAATCTGTTTTTTAGCCTGTAGAAACTTATATGGGTTTCAATGAATTTTTCGAAATTTGGTTTTAAATTCAGTTAATCAACTGAAGCACACAAAATGTATTGGTCTATAAGAAATTTAGTGAGCCAGTGTTAAATTCGAAGTTAAACCATTAAAATATTCCTCAATAATGTATGACTAAACTGACGTCGATTGGCATTGAAAAGAAACAAAGTATTGATAACATTATTATCAGACATTGATATTCTCATCGAGTAAATTTGTGTCTATTACTTTATCCAGTGGGAAAATGATGGCTTCATTAATTATATATATATGGTACTTTTTGTTGATCAGAAAAGTTTATATTCTCATTAATATTCCTAGGGTGATCATAGCACAAAAGTGAGAACGGTTATTCAACGTTTAAAAGTAATCAAACAAGAAGATCCTGATGCTAAAGCTATTGTTTTTAGTTCTGTGAGTTCTTCTTAAAGTGCATTTTCATTTTTATAGTTATCTTTTATATATTATATTTATATATCTAACTATTAGTTTGACGTTTATTCTCTTTCTGCTTGATTATGATCCCATATAAATAATCAGTGCGGATTAATGAGACGTGCAATTTTTTAGCAATACTTGACTAATCATTCGGTAACCAGTTATTGTAATGGAGCGAAGTGATTGAGACATTTGACTTTCAGCCAGTTGATTACAGATTTTGATTTTGTTTCACTTAATTCGCTTCGAACAACCAAGTTGTATCACTAGTCCTCGATTTTAAAGTGTGATTCAGAGACAATCCAAATATTTGTACTTGATATGTGTATATGAATAGTTTTATGGAAATGGTTATTTGAACTATCTAGTATACAGTTTAATGATGTTATTTCCGACATAATTTTCGTTTAATGCATCCATCTTTTAGTATGAGGCATTTTTTGTTAGTTATTTCCATGACTAATTGTAGTTGTCATAACTAACCAATCAAATTGTGGTTTAAGCGCCCACCACGTGATCTGATCTGACGTGTCTGTAAACTTTCTTTGTTGTAAATGATCTAATCATTGAAGGACATTATTATCTTATTATATTGATATGACCCATAACTTTATTCATTTCCATAAGACGCGCTATACTGGTCGGTACGTTTGCTCGTTATAATTGATAACTGTAATTTCCTTAATTATTGTACTAATCTAATTGTTTTTGCGTTTAGAAACAGATAAAGTTTAAAGAAAAATTGGTTTTGTTCTGAATATATCTTTCCCATAGACTCTGTGCTCGCCAATATTGCGTTTACAGTCCTGGAAGTACATCTGTAGGACAAATTAAATCCTACACTATCTTACGACTGGCAATGTTAACAGAGCATGTTTATTTCTGTTTTTTAATTGCTTTTCGTTTGTTTGTTTGTTTTTTAGTGGTTATCTGTTTTAGTAACACTAGCTGGAGCGTTAGATCAAAATGGTTTAGCCTATACAACATTATTTCATGCCCGTGACGCTTGCTGCCCTGGAAGATTAGCTGGTTTTCAATGTTTCGGTTCTACAACATGGATTCTTTTAATGCCAGTTCAACTTGGTGCCAATGGTTTAAATTTGACTGCAGCAAATCATGTGCTTTTCATTGATCCTGTGTTATCACATGCAAGAGAAGCTCAGGCAGTAGCACGAATTCACAGAATCGGACAAACAAGGTTAGTATAGTTTATTAAAGAATCCAATGCTAGCTTCCGAATTACATGATTTATGTAAGGATTCCAATGTTCAGTCTGATTTTTTGTTGTTTATAGAATGATTCATTTATTTTTTCAGAAATCCATATTTTAAGAAAAAGTTTCCACACCATGACTTTTCAGTGCATCTATCAGGTCGCTCGTTTAAGATTATAATTTAGTCAAGTCAAGATATTTCCATCAATTAATATCATTTAAGGATTTAGAATTTTTTCTGACTTCGTAGTACATATATTTCATTAGTTATTTCGTTGAGTCGTTAACAGTCAATTAATTAAACCTACACTGCATGGAAGTTCGTTTGTAGCAATTCGAAACTTTATTCATATTAATTTCCACGATATTTTTGAATTTTTATGCCCTATTCACCAATAAAATGTACCATAGAAATTTTCTTAGACAGTAAGACCAATTTTCACTAAATAAATTCATTCAATATATTCAAGAAGTTCGTCAAAACATGTATAACCTACATATAAGAGTCGAAATAAATGGTACTATTCTACTTACAAAAGCATTTATCAGAAAAATTAGATTCATATATCTTATGCATTCTATCTTATTATTTACGCTTATTTAAATACAGATTTATTTTTATAACTGAATCAAAAAAACAAAACACATCCACTAGCTAATAAAGTAATATCATGCATATTGATGGAGTATAAATGAGTAAAGTTTCAGTGGGTTTTATTATAGAACATAATTAAAAAATAACTGTAGATTCAAAGTTTATCTTATGAACACTGATATTTATTTATGTTTAGAAATGTTTTACTAGTCATTTACGATTATTAGAAAGAGCCAAGTCAAATGCATCCTTACACAAATAGATAAGCGATTTTTTTTAATGCTTTTGATTACAAATTTTAAACTTTAATTTAGACCTGGAGTTGTACATCGGTTCTTAGTTAAAGACAGCATTGAAGCCGCTTTACATGCATCACATTCCCGAAGCACAGAAATTGGTCCTTTTAATCCTGATACAGAATGCATGATTGGCGCTAGTATACGACGAACAAGTTCCACTAGTTTAGGAGTAGCTGGACCCAGTGAAGATAGAGCTCAATTAATGCGCATGACAATTAAACAGCTTACGGAATTGTTACACTTTGAATGCAATACTGGTATGCTCACCGATGAAATGAAACTACCATCTTTTTCTCTACTTTAGTACTTACTCATTTCTATGTATTTATTTTGTTGTTAGTATTTCAAATTGAATTTGTCCATTTCGAATTCCTAATTCTCTCCCGTTATCTTTGCTCATCCTCATTTTATTTCATCATCTATCTTTTTAATTGTGTGACAACTTGTATTTTAATGCTTTGCATTTGAATTTATTCACTAGGCATTTACTTTTCATATTTTATATTTTTTTATTGGGAATTAATATTGATCTAATATAATTAATAAGTGCAAAGATTCTGCTTATTTTTTTTGAACAAAGTAAACTTTAGATTCTAAGAGTTTTACACTGACATATAGACAAATGAAGATCTTAATGTAACTGTAGGGTTGTATCAATAGACCACAAGTATGAACGTCGTATTGTATATATATATTTTTGCGTAACCTCAAGTAACAGACTTCATTGACTCAGTCTCTTACTCTTGCTAGTCACTGGTTTAATGTAGGGTTGTATCGGTACAAGATGCCGCAATCCACATCAAGAGTGGAAATTAATATGATGACGAGGATAGGGAAATAGCAAGCAATATTCATTTTAGTAGGAAGCTGAAGACGAGGTAAACAGTACAGCAGAATTGTATCAAGGAAGCTGCTGGCGTCGATTTCAGTTATGCTACCTGTCTTCAACTACAAACTACGATTGCACCTACATATGCAACATAATTAATTGTATAATGTTCTCAATTGATCGTTTCTAGTCGTTTTCAAGCTTGCACACGTACCAAATGCCACGTCATGTCGTAGTAAAGGGCCCTTAGACATGTATAATTCACATCTCAGTCAATAGTAGTTTATAACTGCCTCGATTTGTTTACTATTCCTATCTAAAACGATTAAAATGTAACAGTAAGAAATTACGAAGCTTTTTGAGAACTGGTTTCCATATTTGATGTGTACTCGACTAGTAGATTCTGATTAACCGGTTAATATTTCTATTAGTCAAACATTTCTATGGCCTCTATTTCCTAATAGTTCGAACGCACGTGAGGTAACTTGTTCGTACTTACTATTGTTGCAGAACATCCGTAAAGAAATACGAAGTGCTAGTCAGTATATTTTCCGTTCAACAGACAGGTAGATATGTTGCTTGTATTGCAAGAAACTCAAGTGTTCATTGTAGAAATTCGAGAAAGGGAAGTTATCGAGAGTCTTATTAAGACTGATCATTGCAAGAACGACAATGTAGAGGTCATTGGTAACAGACTGCCGGAAAATGGACTTCGAGGATTAACGACTAATTGGTTTGTAATCAAAACGTTGACTACCTTTTTTTCTTTTGGAATTATCTATGCAAATACGACAAAATTATCAACTTCCTAGCAAGTTAATATGTGCATGATGCAATTCTTGTATATAAAAAATCTTTTTCATTAGTTTTGTAGTCTAGAATTACACAAATAAATGTGTATATACCCTTAGTAATTGAATGATGACATTGTCATTAACAGATTTAATAATGATTCTGAAACTATCTATAAGGAACTAGATGGTAAGTTTTATTAATATCTTAGAAGAATTTTAACAATGAATTTACAACCAGAAATATGTGTAGGTGAAAAAGTACCATGTCTTTGTCTAATATTAATAGATCTACCTTAGTTTATTTTGCAATACTCTCAGTCAATATTTTTTAAATTAAACAGATATCTACTCCAAGTGAAATTCTACTTTAAAACAATCATGTTATTTAATTTGGGTAATATTAACTAGTATTTTATGTAGCCAAAGAAAACAATTGTTAGGCGATTACTCCTTATAATATAATCATATATCATTATTCTAATAGAATAACAAACAACACTGTTGTGCTTAAACTCTAATATAAATGTATACAGAAATGTAATTTTTACTTTATTTATGCAAGTAAACTAGTGTCATGGAGTTTCGTTCTCTGAGCTGAATGTTTTGGTTCTAGAGCTTTCATTGTTATTCTAAACAACATTATCAGCACAAACTTCAGATAGAAGTGAATTATTCATGTTTCTCGACGTATGACCCGCAGGTTGATCTACTGAACTCGATCTTGATTGTTTGTTGCTACCTTAAACCTATCGTTGTCTGCACCTTTATTGTGATCCTATTATTGTGCATGATTATTCTGATCGGTTGATAAATTGGGTCGATTTCAATATGTTTGTTGTTTGCTGATTAACTTACGTGGAGAAATTCTAATACTTCATTTCTATCTGAAGTTTGTGATGATGATATTGTTCAGAGGAGCAATGAAAGCTCCACAACCAAAACATTCAGCTCACAGAACGAAACTCCATCACTATCATCCACCTGTGCTACAAATTTTCCCCACCATCTGAAAATGAACTATCATTTGGAATAAAAGTAGTATATATATTTAACTTGTTAGAAAGTGTTATTTATGAATAACAAATGAAAAGATAATCCATAAAGACCAATTTAATATGTGCCGTGATACAATGAAAAAAAACCCTTAAAGAACAGGAACAACGGAAAAGTATAACAATCACTACATCATAATGAATGTTAAATGAGCGAACAGAAATTAAAGATTGGAACCCATGGAAATGATATTAAGAATATACTGTCAAACAGAATAATTAGACAAAACAAATATATTTCATGGGTATACATACAGATGTATTCAGAATGTGAATAAGAAAAGAAATTAGATATTAAACTACAAATAACATGTACATAGATGCTAAATACAGCACACAAAATACATGATGAAATAGTTACAGACTATTTTCTGATTTTCATTTTTTTTTCTGATGATATTATCGGCCTTTCTTACGACCTTTCTTTTGTTGCTGTTTAGCTGTATTAGAAATTTGTTTAGGAGTAGATCCTGCTGAACCGTCTTCGTGAACTGTAACTTTAGGACTGCGTACAGCCGCATCCCTGAAGTGGAATTTAAGGAAAATATTCATAAATGCGTTAACAAATCTAAAATCGAATAGCTTAGAATTGTATATATCTCATTATTCCGTGTGTATAAACGAATAATTCAAATTTAAGAACTTTTACGGTAAGGAAAGAAAGCGTTACACAATTGTCCTACTTTGAAGTCGTGTTTGAGTACTAGTACAACAGTGTGCCAAAAGATTTCAGACCTCAATCCAGCAATCACGGTAATAAATAAAGTATGAAAGGGTATTAAAATCAGTAACTACATTAACAAGAGTTGCATTTAATGATACAGCTCAATTAGCAGTATAACCAAGAAAAACTTTTCTCAGTTAAATCAGTTTATTTCACTTTTATGAAGGGTGACAGAAATTATGGTACGATTACCACTGGCTTTTGTTCTGAACCATATCTAATGACGCTTCGAGCTACTGAGTTCCTCAATTTCTATGGACCGACAGATGTTAGTCCTATCTCGCTTATCACAGCGCCATGTCATAAATAGGCCATCGAATCACTTTCCGAGCTAACTGAGTCAACTATATGGAAATCACTGAGATGAAGATCGTAAAACACGACCAAGCTAATGAAGTTGGTGTTCCGCGACGGTGACACTAAGTAAATTATCACAATAGTTGAAAATAGCATGTCAATAAGTAAGAACTATCTTGTGCGAAAACTAAATATGATGGACGCAGCACATACCATTCATTTCCTCCAGTTATTTGACCCTGAGGACCCCGTGTGGGAGCGAATCGCTTGTCACGACGTTTGCCACGATAGTGCGTACGTTCTCGTCGAGGTAACCAACGATCAGGATCAGGCATAACTCCTGGTTGATAGTTCTTTGGCAGGCGAACCTTCTTCTTCTTACGTTTAGAACGGGAAGCAATCTGCTGTGCACCAGGATTTTCTGAAGAGGGAGTACTGGAAAGTACAATAAAAAATTGCTGTCACGTATGTAACAAAAATGAATTCAATGTTTTATAATTTAAAAAAATTTTCTAAGCATCCATTTAAAACCATTATCTTTGGTACATCGAAGTTGTTCTGTAAATTCAATCACAATTCCATGTAAAACTTTGCTAAACAGCGAATTAATTACTACGTCAACAAAGAATACCTACTTATTCATTTTACTGACAAGTTATTTATTTTTAGCATCACCTACTTTAGAGTTACAACTGTGATACAATGTACTTACTATTTAATACTGATAATGAGACAATCATTACAAGGTAGTTTGTAAAGTAAATAATTGCTTTAGGTATGTCTAAATTTTAGATAATTTAATCTTTAAATAATTAAATATAAAAACCTACTCAGAAATCCCTTTTTTAACTTGGCTTCGTTTTGATTTGCCTTTGTCTGAAGTATTTGCTAACTCATTGGGTTTACCAAGCCGTTTTAAAGACTTCGCTCCATATAAGAAAGTTGTTTCCAATGTATCGACATCAGCCTCTGAAAGTGTTTCTTTAGCCTGCAATGATTTACAAGTTTTTTCAGCTTTAGGACGATCGAACTGTGCATAAGCACGTACCAATCGGGCTACTAGTACTTGTTTGATTAGAGTGTTTTGTTTTTCTTGCGAAATGTTTGATTCAAGTCGAGCTAATTGTTTTTCAAGAAGTTCAGCCGCGAGTTTTGCTTCACCTTGTTGTAGCAGGAATGCAGCACAATGATCCAACAAGTGGGAATAAATTTCATCCTAAAAAAACATTCATTTAGAATTCTATGGTTAAATTCACAAAATAATGTATCAAAGAAGCCCGAAAATTAGAAAAATTAATTCAAGTTAGAACCAAACTCAAATTTAAGCCTTAATAATCATTAAAAAAACAACATTTTCTGAATACTGTAATATATGACAGCATAATCAGTGGAATGAGAATGTAATGCCTTAAAACACTTAGAACAATAATCAAGGATTCTACGTCACATAAATAGAAAGGTTTACACTCTTTCAGATTGTATTCATACCCCCTCGTCTTGAACTCAAAGGGTAATGTACAGAATCATGTGACATACAACAATCAGATTGTATAAGTTAAGGAATAAACAAACCACGAATACATTCAGTACTAAGTTTTCCAATACCCATGTTTTATTCGTTTTTATTTATTACATGAACACTAGGAATAGCACACATTACTATTGAAGTCAAAACTAGAAAACATAAATTATTAATTAGCTTACATTCACTGAATATGAAATAAAAGAGAATTTTACCTGTCCTCCTAACTCTTCATAATAATGAAGGGTTGATTCAATACAATTAACTATTTTTTTCATACTATCAGAATGTGTTTGAACAGCATTTTCACCAGAGCTGGCTAAAAGATATAAAGCAATGCGTGTTGACAAAACTCCAGGAGAATGGATTAAATGCTCGGGAAGAGCATTTCCAAGCATTTCAGCTACATTTAATGCATTTTTCGATTGAGGAATACCATGTCCTAAATGACTTCGAGATGTTTGGCGCAGATTTAATTGAGCCAAAGCTAAAGGGATATCTGCATCAATCTGATTGACAGGAATTTTGGACAAATAATTCTAAAGGTAAAACAATAAAAATGAATTGAAAGGATATGCAAAAATTTAGTATTAACATTTATGATATTTTATTCAATGTTAATATTATACTGAAGAACTTATTGTGTCTAAGTTACTAAGAGTGGATTTGATTTCATTGCTCGAAAATTTTCCATTGCTTCAAGATTTGATTAAACAGTCGCCTATAACCTTTTCTTAAACACCTTAATCTGGAATTCAAAAAAGACTACTAGAACCCATCTAGACACAGAAGCACTAAATAACTATGAAAAAAGCTTATATACCTCTGAATGTATCGTAACGTCTAGTAGTGCCAATAAATTTTTTTAGTAGACTAGTCAGAGCAAACACTTTTATTACTCATTTAGTGATGTGTCCCCTGAATTTTGCTGATTAATATTATTACATTATACGAAATAGGCCTCATACAATTGATGCTCAGGCTGTCATTTATTGACTCATTCTCCTTTTCCTATCACTTCTTAATTTAGAATTTATATTTGAGCACTGTACCTACACCTGTTACTAGTAATGAAGCAACATACAGAAAAAGCAGTTTGACAGGCATATCGACAATTCTGACTTCAGTGTCGATTAACGATTGTTTTGAGTTACAGATGTTCATCACTTATAGAAATGCTGTCCTTGGTGTTTTTATATCTGCGTCATGACAACCTTGTTTATTAATGCTACTATCCAGGTATGTAAACGTTTCCACATCCTCCAAAGCTTTCACGTCAAGTGCTATATGGTTGATGCATTCTGTGTTTTAATATCAGAGGATTTTGCGTTTTCCCATGTGTATGTTCAGACCTACTGCTAAGAGATTGTTGCAAAATTGCCGTCATCTCTTTCATTTGCTGTGTCGAATAAAAGAGCTAGATTATCATTGAAGCCTAGATCGTTCAGCTGTATTCTAGCTGTCACTGACAAATGGATTGAGCAATGTTATCGGGTCTAGACTACCTGGTTGGGGTCCGTAAAACAATCGTAACCGACGGTTAGTGACTAAAAAACATGGCTCATAATCGTTTGCAATGGTGCAGGTGCATCCACTTTCTGTGTTCTTTCAAATCTTAATCTTCTAAATTCCTCATCACCCTTATCTTCCTCTTTTAAGATTTATTTTACTGGATTATACTTCTTGAATTCCATCTCCGATATATAATTTTCCCCACTACCACTAATACTGCTACTAACTCTACTACTATGGGATTTGAACTGGCAATGTAGTATGACCACTTGAACTGATATACGCAAGTATCAAGTACCGAACTGCAGCTGACTTAAATGAAAGATTTTTCACTTTATCTGTTTGATTTAGATTCGACAGCAAGTTGGAAGTTATTTCTTCATTTGCTTTTACAAGATAAATGTAGTTTATCTTGACTGAATCTAGACCTGGAAGCACAGATTGTAGTGCGATATAAGTAAAAAATGACTGAAAGAAAACTAGGATACGCCAAATAAGTAGAATTTTTGTGGATCACTTAGTTATTTGATTAGCTAGAACCCAACAATGTTGGTTTGACAAACTAGCCATTATAATTTCGTAATTTCGTATAGATGATTAGTCTAATCTCACTTAAAGCTGCGATTTGCGTCACACCGTACACGATGTAACTTTTATTCCCACAATAAATATTTGTTGTGTCGGCAGTTAAACCATTTATTTCCAAAATAACTAGAAACATTTACTGATCATTTCGGTTTTTGTCACATTTGTGAATAAAAGAGGTTAACTACCAAAAACAGACAAAAAGTTACAGGATACAAAGTTAATGAGTAATACAAGATATCTTAACAGTTGATTTACGAAGACCAATATGATATCCATATAACCACTTACTTCCAGGAGTGTAATTGCTTTATCAACACTTTTCTCTTTAACTAACTGGGTAGCTGATAAAAGCAAAGCCCGCGGATTTAACTCCTCTTGTAAAACTGTTTTCAATTTTGCAGTACAACCTTCCATCTGTAAAAAAATGAAACGATTCATTTGGAGAATTCATCATATAAAACTGATATAAAAGGTAAGATTTTCAAAACAGGTTAATACTGAAAGAATAACCACTGATAGCATAGTATGTGTACATTAATATATCTAAAACGTGAAATTTCAATTGAGCATATTATGTGACAAAGCAAAATTATTGTAAAGAATTAAGAACTAATATTGCTTGGAAAAAACACGTTAAATTAGTAGAAGCGATTATCAGTGAGACGAAGCAGTCTTCCAAAGGAAGATACCTGCCGGTCATAAGTATGTAAAACCTTGGGTGCTGGATAGTACTGTATGGTCACCGCTTTAACATCCTGAGTTAGCAAAAGCATAGCTTTCTAAATTGGTCTGCATAACATAATTGTGAATGGTACCCTTAGTTCCTTTGACTATGTTGCATAAAGTATCCACAATCTTGTTCTTCTGTCTGCATAGAGTTAACAGTTAAAAAAATTTGAAATAAAATATAAGGTCTGAACGGAATAACCATGAAACTGCACATCAGATAGTAGTTTAGCTGCAAGGTATCCAACATTTAGACGACAGACTATCTATTCTAAACTTGCTGTAAATACCTCAGTTTGGGTATTCAAACATTACCACTGGCCTCAATGTGAAAGTAGGTGCTCACAGCCCACTCAAATGATCATATATCCGGTGACTGACGCATAGATTTTAAATTGACCTCAATAATTTACGAGACTGCAAAAAATAATAACACAATACTGAATTTTTGAAGCAAGATGTTTTTATTGAATATCTGTCCGTAATTATTATCAAAATAAACAACTTCTTGTAGAGAAAAAAAATATCAATAAAATCACCAAAATTCGTTTTCAAACACGTTGTACAGTTCCAATTAAATTACATGAATCTTACCATTGATCCCAAAAGTATATGAGCTGAATGGATGCATTTCAGCTAATAACGTTAATAAAACAACTTTCTATAGTTAAGAGGAAGTATTTCTAAAACTGACAGTCACAAGTCAGAAACTCATATAGCTTTGTGTATGCACGTTCTGCCAAAAAGTTTGTGAAGGAATATTACTTACGCCTGTTACCCCAAATGGAGCATAGGCCGCCCACCAGTTTTCTCCAACCAACTCTGTCCTGGGCTTCTTTCTCCAGTTCTGTCCAATGTTTGTTCATTCCTCTCATATCTTTCTCTATTTCTCGGCGTAATGTATTCTTTGGCCTTCCTCTTTTCCTTTTGCCTTGAGGGTTCCATGTGAGGGCTTGTCTCGTGACGCAGTTAGGTGCTTTCCGCAATGTGTATCCTATCCACTTCCACCGCTTCTTCCTGATTTCCTCCTCCACTGGAATTCGGCTTGTTTTCTTCCACAGTTCGTTGTTGCTGATGGTGTCTGGCCAACGAATACGAAGTATTTTGCGTAGACAGCTGTTAATAAACACTTGTATCCTCTGGATGATGGCTTTGGTAGTTCTCCATGTTTCCGCTCCATACATTAGAACTGTCTTGACATTTGTATTGAAAATCCTTATTTTGGTGTTGATTGATATCTGTTTGGAGTTCCAGATATTTTTCAACTGTAGAAATGCAGCCCTTGCTTTGCCAATCCGTGCCCTCACATCTGCATCGGATCCACCTTGATTGTCGATGATGCTGCCCAGATATGTAAAGGTGTTAATCTCCTCCAAGGCATCTCCATCAAGAGTGATTTGATTGGTGCAAGTTGTGTTGCATCGGAGAATTTTGCTTTTTCCTTTATGTATGTTGAGACCTACTGCTGCAGAGGCTGCTGCTACACTGGTCGTCTTCGAAGTTGGGCGTCAACGAAGTCCTTCATTCTGTTTAACAATACTCTGTTGAAGACTTTGCCTGGTATTGAAAGAAGAGTGATGCCTCTGTAGTTCTCACACTTGCTGAGATCGCCTTTCTTTGGTATTTTGATCAGGTATCCTTCTTTCCAATCTGATGGTACTTGTTCCTCATCCCAAATCTTCTTGAAGAGGATGTGAAATATTTTCGCGGTTGCTTCTACATCTGCTTTCATTGCCTCTGCTGGAATGTTGTCTGGTCCTGCTGCTTTGCCGCTCTTGATTTGTCTGATGGCCATACTGATCTCCTCAATCGTAGGTGCGCCAATATTAATTGGGAGATCCGTGGATGCTGCTTCGATGTTGGGTGTGTTCAGTGGAGCTGGTCGATTCAATAGTTCCTTAAAGTGCTCTACCCACCTAATTCGCTGTTCGTCAGTGTTGCTGATTACTTAGCCTTCCTTGCTTTTCACTGGTCGTTCTGGTTTACGATCGATTCCAGCGAGCTTCTTTGTAGTTTCGTACAATTGTCTCAAGTTTCCGTCTCTTGCAGCCCTTTCCGCCGTCGTTGCTAGATCTTCCACGTATTTTCGTTTGTCAGCTCTGATGCTCTTCTTCACTTCCCTGTTTGCTTCTGTGTATGCAGCTTGTGCGGTAACTTTCTCCGCTCTTGTTCGGCTGACATTGATTGCTGCCTTCTTGTTCCTCCTTTCTTGAATTTTTTCAAGAGTACCAACAGAGATCCATTCCTTGTGATGGTGCTTCTTGCGACCAAGGACCTCCTGACATGTTGAAGTGATTGCCTCCTTGATGCCTTTCCAATTGTTCTCCAATGTTGCTCCCTCTCCATTGTGTAGATCCTGAAAGGCCTGGAACCTATTGGTGAGGGCTATCCTGAATTCGTTGAGCTTTACAGTATCCCGAAGAAAGGCCGTATTAAACTTGTGTGATGTTGTCTGTCCCGTTATCCAATGCTTCTTTAGTTTCAGTTTCATTTTGGCGATTAGCAAATGGTGATCTGAGGCTACATCAGCTCCTCTCCTGGTTCTCACATCCTCCATGGTCCTTCTGAACGTTTTGCTGATACAGATATGAACAATCTGGTTTTGAGTAGTGTGGTTCGGTGAAATCCATGTAGCTTTGTGCATGCGTTTGTGCGGGAATATTGTGCCACCGATGACCAGTTTGTTGAAGGCACATAGGTTTGCAAATCTCTCACCGTTTTCGTTTCTTTCTCCCAGTCCATGTCGTCCCATGATGTCTTCATATCCAGTGTTGTCCATTCCAACCTTGGCATTCAGGTCTCCCATAAGAATCGTCGAATCCTTTGGTGAACATTTCTCGACGATTGACTGCAGCCTTTCGTAGAATTGATCTTTGTCGTCGTCATTGTAGTCGTTGGTAGGTGCATAACATTGGATGACGTTCATTGTAATGTCCTCTTTCTTTGTTTTGAAGGATGCTTTAATGATCCTGGGTCCATGAGATTCCCATCCTATCAGTGCCTTTTGTGCATGTTTGAACAGCATCAATGCAACTCCTTGTGTATGTGAAGCATTTTCCTCTTCATGACCAGAGTATAACAGCAGTTCCCCTGAAGCTAGTCTCAGTTGTCCTACTTGTGTCCAATGTGTTTCACTGATTCCAAGCACCTCGACGTTGTATCTTTTCATTTCTGCCGCAACTTGAAATAGTCTTCCAGTCTCCCACAATGTACGAACGTTCCATGTACCTAAAAAAATGGTTGCTCTGGTTGTCAGAAGAGGCACCAGCCCCGTGACTTCCGAGGGAACTCGGCTTTCATCACGCGACGTCATAATTCTTCCTCCAACTCCCAGGGCAGAGTTAAAATGGTTTGAAGGAATATGGTGCTCCCTATAAATATCTTGTCGAAGGCACATAGATTTGAGGATGTAGTAGCTCAAAAAAACTCCCACCCAACACTAAAGTCATAATTTTCAGCGCAAAAATCAAGACAGTTAAATCCTATTGTCTGGAACAGAAACTTGGAAAGCTATAAAAGTCATCAATCAAAAGATACAGGTGCTTATTGATATTTATCTATACATGGTACTGCATATCCGTTGGTCGGACACCACTGAAAACAACAACCTACTGTGAAATAGAACAAGGCAGATTCCAGATGAGGAAGAAATTAGGAAAAGGTGGTTCAGGACACATATTGGAGAAATCTCCAAACTCCATCGCAATTTAAACCCAAACTTGGAACCTTCAGGGACAAGATGAAAGATGAAGACATATTGCGCTAAGAATTGGAGATAGACATGAAAATGAATAGCAATTGGGTATAACTGAATAGTAAGGCACAGGATGGGGTCGGTTGAAGAATGCTAGTCGGCGTCCTATGCTCCATTAGGAGGACTGATTTAAAATTCGAACTACAAATTTAAAGACTCTTCAAAGGTCCTTAATGCTTTACATAATCAGTACACTTCTAAAATATACAACACAGCTTGGAGTCCTGAAGCACACCTGGGAAGGTCTAGGGTTCTGCATGCAGCAAAAAATGTGACGGAGAAAGAATACTACAGAGTTATTTAAAAATTCTGAAACTGTACTTATTAATAGAAAACTTACTTGGTTCGTGTGCCAGTAAAACAAAGCTTGATTGATAAGCATATCAATGCGTTGGCGAGAAAAAAGTTTGAACTGTAAACCATCTGCGGAAGTCATCTTAATACGTTTACGGCTTTCGAAAACATTTTGATCTTGATTAATACAAACAATATTGTTGGCAGCTACTGCCAAAAGTGCAGGATCTGAAACTCTGATTCAAAACAAATAAAAAGGAGTGAACGAATTACGTGGGACATAGGTGTGAACAAGGATAGTAAAAAATCTAAAATGCTTAGTTAAATGGATGTCATTTGGTCTAATTATAATAAATATTAATGATAGGCGAATTTCTTTAGAAAAAACATACGGAAACATAGTAGTTGTATGTGTCACTTATCATGGATGTCTTATCAGACTTGATGGGTTGATGTTTGATGAAGTCTCCTGCGGAGCCCAACCAAGTAGCCTGAAACTATTAACATCACTCAGTCCACTTGTAAGTAACTAAACAGGTTTCTGCCAAGTTTTGATCTGGTCGCCTCTCGCTTTCTTCAAACCTACTCCTACATAACTAAACATTGGTCGTCGAGGCAGTCGATGGTTGGACATTCGTTTCGGGTAACCAGGAATAACATCTCATGTACCCGAATCGTTATCATTAGCGGCATGATGTGTTAAGTTATATAAGAAGGTTTAGTCGTGGATACAAGAGAGCTTTTAGGAATTGTATGACGGATTCGGTTGTGAACAAGTTGATTACGTATGTGGTTACGTGTTTGAGGGCAGACATCACTTCCTGGTTTCCCACACCGTGGATAGGTACTTCTTGAGGAAGCTGAAAAAGAAATCAGATTAGCGTTTGAGCGACCTGGGAGCGTGACCACAGGACCCAAGGGATAACTGCTTGAGACTGTTCTTGCACGGAATTTTTATGAGAAGTTTTTAAAGTGTTAGCTCAGCTCTTCAAATGGTCTTACCGCGGAGAAGGAAGTCCGTGAGGTAAGATGAGGTGTGACACTTTTAGGGTCGACTTTTACTTACCCTTTCTTTCCTTGTGAGAAGGAAGCATCGCTGCAAATGCTGGTTGTCCGAGGGGAACACCTTACTGCTGTCATACCCCTCTACAGTCAGCAGTGAAACTTCGCCCTCTGACCTTGAGTTGCTGCTTTTAGTCTCACCGTTCTCCTGCCTGGGATTGTAGAACCTACAGGGACACATGTTCCAGCCAATATAGTTCGGTTGGGTTATCACTATAGGCAAGCCCGACCACCATGTCCGAATGAAGTAGCGTTGACGATATCAAAGTGGTTAAGCCTCCTTGTGATACGAAATACTGGTATTAATATTAGTATGAGTATGACAGTACAAACACGTTATAGATGAGTGTTTGGGAAAGATTATTTCCCTTAGTTTCAAAGGCAATATTTATGGTCAGCAAGTTGTAATATGAAGTTAAAAAGAACTGCATTACCTTTGTCGAATGACTGATTGATACATTTGGTTTGCTTCCTCTTCTTTCTTGTTGAGCTGCAAAATATAGGCTCGTTGAACTCTGAAATGAAAATGTGGTGAAAAAATGAACAAGGGGTAATTTAATGCTGTGAACTGGAAGTGATTTTGTATCGTAACAGTTATCAAATCCGATTGCAGGCTTCGGGTTGCTAAAATAACGTCTCCAGGGAGATATGGATGGAAAACGACCGTAATGTGGACAACCTTGACGAACACCACTTGAAGTATTTAGTTTCAACGAAAGTTCGCAATAAGTTGTGAATCGCCCAGTAGTTTCCAGTAGAGAGCCTGTACTAGGTTAGTCTACATCCTAGGTACTCCTTTCAGTGGTATAAAACCAATGAGCCAACAAAGCAGGAAATTTACTTTTTCTAAACACCAACGTACATCGTGCTTGTTTCATGCCCAGAAGCAATCTGCCTCTTCTATTTTAGCGCCGTTTCAGTGCTTTCACATACAGTTTCTTTACTTGTTGAATTTTCGAGCAGTTAAAAGAATTGCGGTAGCTTGAATTAAACCAAACTTACAATAAATTTTTATCTGTCTACATAACAATTTTAATTCGACCAATGTACATGGCGTTCGGTCATATATATACATGTATATATATATATATATATATATATATATATATATATATATATATAAATGGAGGAAGAGCAAAAATGGCCAGCATCAAACTCTTACTTCATGCAATAGATCTTTTTGGGCCAGACATAAGGGAATTTTTATTTCAAATATAAATCCCTAAATAACTTTTGAAGTGAACAGAAGTAAACTTGACTAGCCCACATCAACAATATGGAAACAGTGCTCTTCCAAGTACTACTTGATTAACTGAATCGATCAATATTTTGAGACTGTGGACGGATTATAGTTTTTTACATTAGTATCCAACTCATTTATTCAAATACATAAAGTGGTAAAAAGGGGCACCAAAACAGATAAGCACCATATAAATCATTGGATTTTTTGTGCAATCTGGGATATTGTTCGGGTGCGCAAACCGAAACAGGCAGTCTCCTAGGGGATCATTCCCCCAGCCACTGACCTATAGATGGATTCTCCAAGCCCCCTGAGTGGATCCTCACACTGGTTAACTCGGTTTGAGAGCCGGACACTCGCTTTCTGTGTTCTCAGTTTCGTAAACACTAACCCCACCAAAAGAAGCCAGAAGTACGGTAAGATGTTAAAATACTGTCTTATTTCGAAATCTATATCACTTTAACTTTTTTGTTACATATACTGCAGTCAAAAAAACTCACGTCCCGTGATTTCATAACCTAGAGCAAAAAAGTGAATTTACTTTACCTAATACAGACCGTAAACAGGGGTGGAAAATGATAATTTAAATTTTCGTACCTTATAGGAGCTAATTCTACATTCTTTTCTTCTTCAGTTACTTCCGGGTCTTCGGAGAGACACAAATTACACATATCTGCAATATTCAGTTAAGAGAAGTTAAGTATCCTACTTTCAGCATCATCTAACAATCTAACTGCCAATTGAAGATCACCACGTCCAAGCTGATAACATGCCAGATTAAACTTCCCTTCATACATTTGTGGATTAAAATCTAGATCCTTCAAAATAAAATTGTGTAAGTCTATTCTCACCAGATTAATGTTATTAAAACATGATTCAGCAGCAGCTACCGCTGTCAAATTCGTAAGCCGTTCTTCGCTATAATCATCCTAAAGGGGTAAGAAATTAGGCAAACCACTAACTTGAGAATTTCGAATCACTGTTCGCAAGCATGAATATGCATCAGCGAAATCACCTTTTCTGTACAACTAAAATAAATATGTGATTACAGCCGTAAGAAATACGTACCACTTGGGCTTTTAGTTCCTGAACTTTCGGGTTGTTCACGTCGGCTGCTTCTAGAGTTTTTGCAGCTTCAGTGAGACGATTGAGTCTGTATTCAGCGTAGGCTTTCTCAAAAATGACATGACTATAATAAATTAGGCAGTATTGAACAGCTCTACATACTTGATCAGTGCTGAGTTTTTTTTTAAGAAACTCAAACATTCTTCATATTTTTCGGCTCGAATAAGGGCAATAACCTTGCACTGAAAAGCTTTAATTTCACCAGGATAATTCGTAAGAACTGTGAACGGAATATAACATGAAAGATTAGTGGCGAGACTACAATTTACAAATGAACATGTGAGATTAACGACAAGTCTAACTTTTAGTGCGAAATCCAATCATCTATATGATTAAGTACCATTTCGAGACCACAAGTGATATCGGCTTGTGATGATAACACTGAACTAAACTACTAACCCTAAACTTTAACACCCAATCTTAATCCTAATTCTATTTTGGCTTTTGAATACGTGGATTTCTTAAAAGATAATGTTGGCGTCACCTAAGAATTCGTTTAACAATTATATTCTCTCTATACTTATACTAAAATTTCAAGCGAAGACAACAAACAAAAAATTATTATAGGGCATGTGTTCAAAAGAATGAATGTTGAAGTCCAGCAAAAATGACAAAGGCATTGTGATTGAGTTGCCTCGATTACGAAAGCATACATAATAAAAAAACTGGGGCGACTAGCGGCTAACACTTAATGAATAAGTAATGATTTATTGAGAGGAACTATTTTTTTATTTATATACAGGACGTACACCTTGAAAACCATAACGAAGGTAGCTAGGAGAACAAAGCAGAGTACCGCGAAGTTACTTAAAATTGAGTAGGTATGCGATGCAAATCATCATCTTCAATTCTCCATGGAATCATAAAAAGATGGGGGGTGAAAACGAACATTTCGCAACATGGCTAGATATAAAGAATCAAAACGCACTTCTCCCAGAAATATTAATAATTTTTTCATAAGCCTGAGCACTACAAGCTTTGTTCAGATCTGAATAAACAGACTGGATGTCGAACGCCTTATCGTTTGCCATTTGCAAACGTGTCAGGTAACGGGAGCGTCATACAACGCGCGCTCCCAATACAATATCCAATATATCTAATATCTTTTTCACAAGCTAGTATAAATCACTTGATTTCTTTGCTCTCGATTCTTTTTCATTCAGTACAGTTCTACGTGTTCGGTATTGTTCAGTGAAAGTGTGTCTAGACACTCGACGGTCGAATTCTAGTCAGTTGGCGGGTAGTTGTGAGTTTGTATGTCCTGTGATTTGAATAAAAACGTTTGTTTCAGGGCAGTAGGGTTTCTGGATACCAGCAGCTATGGCATCATCAGACCGGAAATCATTTATTGATGATGTGGACAATCATAAATAGAAATTTCTATCTTCTTCATTTTATCTTCTTAAAGCTGTCGACTGAGTGGTCTGTAGTAACCTCGGCTGGGAGAGCATTTCAAGTTGCGACGACTCTTAATGAGAAAAAGTGTGCACTATCCTGAGTATTCTCCCTTTTCGAGGACTGCATCAAGGTGAGTGTTGGCGATGCATCGGTACGGTGTTCACGTTGGGATGGTTTGGCGTTTCGAGCTCGACTAACATCTAATCATCTGCAAATCTATATTTCAAGTGCTAAAGCTGCTTTTGTTCGTCTTAATGAGCTGCCAGTCAGTATTTTGCATCGAGATCATCAATTAAATACCTATCAATCTAAAAAGCAGAACTTGCGTCAGGCAAATCCCTCAACTATTGCTTTCGTTGCCTCTGATGGAATGTTGTCTGGTCCTGCTGCTTTGCCGCTCTTGATTTGTCTGATGGCCATACTGATCTCCTCAATCGTAGGTGCGCCAATATTAATTGGGAGATCCGTGGATGCTGCTTCGATGTTGGGTGTGTTCAGTGGAGCTGGTCGATTCAATAGTTCCTTAAAGTGCTCTACCCACCTAATTCGCTGTTCGTCAGTGTTGCTGATTACTTAGCCTTCCTTGCTTTTCACTGGTCGTTCTGGTTTACGATCGATTCCAGCGAGCTTCTTTGTAGTTTCGTACAATTGTCTCAAGTTTCCGTCTCTTGCAGCCCTTTCCGCCGTCGTTGCTAGATCTTCCACGTATTTTCGTTTGTCAGCTCTGATGCTCTTCTTCACTTCCCTGTTTGCTTCTGTGTATGCAGCTTGTGCGGTAACTTTCTCCGCTCTTGTTCGGCTGACATTGATTGCTGCCTTCTTGTTCCTCCTTTCTTGAATTTTTTCAAGAGTACCAACAGAGATCCATTCCTTGTGATGGTACTTCTTGTGACCCAGAACTTCGTGACATGCTGAAGTGATTGCCTCCTTGATGCCTTTCCAATTGTTCTCCAACGTTGCTTCCCCTCCATTGAGTATATTGTGCAAGGCCTGGAACCTATTGTTAAGGGCTATCTTGAATTCGTTGAGTTTTCCGGTATCCCGAAGAAAGGCTGTATTAAACTTGTGTGATTTTGTCTGCCCGGTTGTCTAGTGTTTCTTGAGTTTCAGTTTCATTCTAGCGACCAGCAAGTGGTGCTCTGACGCTATGTCAGAACCTCTCCTGGTTCTCACATCCTCCATAGTCCTTCTGAACACTTCGTGACCAGTGTATAACGGCAGTTACCCAGAAGATAGTCTCAGTTGTCCTACCTGTGTCCAATGCGTTTCACTGATGCCGAGCACCTCGAGGTTGTATCTTTTCATTTCTGCCACAAATCGAAATAGTCTTCCAGTCTCCTACAATTTACGAACATTCCATGTACCTAAAAGAATGACTTTCCAGGGAACTCGGTTTTCATCACGCGACGTCATAATTCTTCTTCCAACTCCCAGGGCAGAGTGAAAATGGTTTGAATTATTTGTTCTGGTTAGCGTATTTTTGGCAAGTTAGTTTTAGTTGTGATGAGGGCGCCAACCCTATTTCCAACCCCTCCTCTTTTATCCGGGATTGTAACCGGCAGTAGCCTCGAAGAAACTACAGGCCGAGTTTATTTCCTACGAACGATATTTTATATTACAGTCTTGATTAGGTTTGATAACCCTTCCACTTTTCGTTACATCAGCATATCCGTGATCACACATCTTTATTATTTTACCAGTTATAGACGTAGATTGTCAAGAGTGTTCTTCAAGAGACATCGAAGCAGACTTTTTTCAGAAGACAGTAAAATTGAAACCAGCAATTAAAATTTTGAACATTAGCAAATCAGCCCTATTTTGCAAATACATACATCAGAAAACGCTAGATTTATGCATCAATATTGTGTTATAAATAGTAATGTAAATCACTATAATTTATATACATGATTGATTTGTTTCCTGATATTCGTCATTGGTTCATTTCTCATGTCTCAGGTGTCTTATATATAACAAGGAAAACTTTGGTTTACGATGCCGTAGATGCAAAAATGCTATTAGTAAATTTTTTGGATAGATTAATGTTTGTTGACATGAAACTCAAAGGTCCTCGTTTAATCTTATTTGGAGCTTGTCAGCTACAAACACCTGCTTCCCAGAGTTGTTGCTTAATCCGGGACACCTACTCAATACCATTAAATTGAATGGCACTATCATGTCTACCCTCACAGAGCACATATATTTTAGAGTTACTGATCAATTTCCTTCCTAAATATCAATGGGAAGATTTAAATAATCAGTATTAATACACTATTACAAGGTTATTCCTAATATAAAAGTTTGTAAATAAATATTTTATGTAATGATGATTGCTAAACCTGGAATGCATGCTTCCGGAGACTATAGAAAAGTTTCGTAAGTAAAGTTCCAAAATAAATAGATTGGCAAGTCTTGGATGCTAATGCTGAGCTTTTTGCTTTTGCAGGACCAACCATAGGTGAAGATACTCAGTTGCGTGTTCGAACTAGATCACCGATAGGTACACCGGGCTCTGCATCTTAATTTAGTAGCAGTGTGATATGCTTCGTGGGTATTTGGTCCAACATAGAGAAGCCAAAGTTGTCGGGTGTGTTTGTAACGTGGGGCTAGTAGGGAATCTATATTTCGACAAGGTGTACAAAAAATAGAGCTTAGACTAAAAACATGATTTGAAATTCACAATTAAACGCAAGAGAGCCCAACATCACAATGGGGGAAAAACTAGTTTATCTGACCAGCATTCATGACAATGGGGCAATGAACTAAATCTATCACGCCTGTGGAGCAGAACATTTTGTTTAATTACTGCTCCTTTGGATACGGCAGAAAGTAATTAATCGGTGATATTGCGGTTGCTTTTCCGTTTCAACCACGTCTACGACTCACGTTAGTAACCTTGCACTAGTTTCACTCCCCACCAAGAAATACCATTACTAGCAGATTTGGACAATTTTGGTGAAAAAGAACCTACTCATAACTTCTTGAGCTACAGCGTTAAGAAACCAATAAGTGAGGTGTCATCAAAGCATCAGACCACCATGCCTTCTTAAATATATCCCTTAAATCAACATTATTTCTAACAATTTAGGTTCTTTTTTATTTCCTCTATTCATAAGATTATTTGCCCATTCGTTATCTTACCAAATGCAAGGGAACAGTTTGTGTTCAAATATAGAAAAAGGTCTAATTGTTTATACTTTTGCATTATCCGACATTATTATCTGCTGAGTCATGACTCATCTTTCAACAGGAATATTTTCTGTTCTGCTCCTCGCTCCTTCTCTTGATTTCTCTTTTTCAACACCTTATTCTCCTCCCTAGATATTAGCCTGGATAACTACCAATGACTTGGTTACTTAAGATGTTTGCCTGTTTGCCTCATCAATTGCTGTTATGTGCTGGCCTCGATTTACGGTGCACTGTTTCCCAACCAGAGGTGGTTCTACGCAATGCAACTCATGCTAATTATCGTATTGTACATTGCAGAGTCTTAAAAATTATCTCTAAACCTGTGTGAAAAATTATGGCCATCTATAAGTATTCGATTTACCTTTTGAAATATTTAAGTAAGTGAACAACCCTTTACAAAAAAATGTGTTGGCGATTTTAACATTTTGATTTTCCACATATATCGGCATACCTCCCGTGACATGTTGTTATTTTAGAATAAATTATTATTAGCTGTAATAGTGATGAGGAAAATGATCTTTAATTCTACATACTTCTTTGGTATTCACAATTTTTTTCTTTGCAATGACCATCCCACGAAATAAAGTGACGTAAAATTTGAACAGCACGAGCTGTTTAATATCTGATCAATGATTACACACTCGTAAATCTGATACCATCAAACATTACTCGAAATATTTTATCAGCACCACTATTTGATTTAGAAGTAGGAAAGAAGTAAGTACGATAAAAAGCTTTGTTTAAGGCTGCTATTTTGAAGCAGACCAGTTTATATCCGAAAGAGAACAGGTTTCAAATTGAACGTTTAAAAATCTCTCCCTGAATGGCCGATGGGTGACGAAAAAAGGAATATATAGAGACATAAATCCATAGTTCTAAAATTTTATTCCCGTTGATAGAGTACCACCTAAAACTATTTTGTTTATGAATGCAGAAGCAGAACTAATCAGACTTTAATTCCGTCAGACCGCTATTAATTTCAGGCTCCGTTGCTTTTAAATTGAAGCATCAAACAAGCTCATCGTTTTGGACGTTTCTGTAAACATGAGACACTTTCAACGTATGGCACAAGGCATTTCCTTAGCTTCATCTCCCAGAGGACTCCCGTCTTTATTTTAATGAATAAAATGAAAGTGACAAAGAACTTAGAAATTATCATTTCCCCCTGAAGAGTGCGGTAAGTATAGACTGGATGACGATAATGAGCGATACTTAATGGTTTTGATAATAACATGGACGAATATGCTGATACAAATGGATTATTAGACGTGCATCGACAAGTAGAGACACAGTAATAAACCTCGGGATAACATTATGGATAAATCGCAAGTGTAATGCAATTTTTCAGACTTCAATGCAGCTGGAACCTATATACAAATTATTCCATTTTCATGATCAAAAATATGGATGCATTAGAAAACAGTAGCATAATATGACATAATTATAGAATCATATAATTTAGTACCACGTACAGAAAGCCAACGAAATTTTTGTCATCGAA